AAATGCTGGGATCAGTAGGGCTCAGATTATAGCGTTAATACAGGGCGAAGTAGCATAGGGACGCAGGCGTGCTCGACCAGTATTTAGAAAGCCTTATCCTGATTATGTTGATGCCCATGAGCTACCCAGAAATTATCAGTATCGCGATTTTTCTATGTACAGTGGTGAAGAGATTTTTGCTATGGTGCAGCATATTGCGAGGTTCACAATGCAATATGGTGAAGTAGGTCCTAATCCTTGGTTGAGGATGAGGTTATTCTCTAGCTCTCTTGCTGGGGCGACATTTGAATGGTATAGTAATTTACCAGCCAATTCTATTCAGACATGGGATGAAATAGAAGAAGCTTTTCATACTCAATTCTGCTGAACAGAGACAGAAGCTACGCTGGCAGATATATCTCGATTGTCTCAGTTGCCGAGCGAATCGGTTGAAACTTTTGTGGCCAAGTTCAGAAAAGCTAAACTCAAATGCCGAGTAAGTTTGCCAGAACCAGAATATATCAAATTGGCATTAAATGGTTTAGACATTGAACATCGCAAGAGGTTTGATGGGGTTGAGTTTCAAGATCTCTTCGATTTAGTAGACAGGGCCACTTAGTATGAAGAGATACTTAAAGAAGAGAAAGAAAGGAAAAATTCCTCTAAGGGTACTTATTACAAGGACCCTAATTATGAGGTGTTCTCGACAGAAGTTGGAGAACAGAAGTTGGAGATGAATTAGAAGTTGACATTACAGAGGTCAATATTAAGAAACCGTATATCTGTGAGGCGTTGGTCAAACCTAAGCCGACCATGGGATGCAATGCAGCATCAACATCGGCAGTAAGAAAAGGAGCTGTCGATACCGGAAAAAGCTATTCTTTTGACTTATCAAAAACAGATCAGATCATTGATCACTTGATAGCCGATAAAATGATATCTTTGCCTAAGGGGCATAAGATTCCATCGGCAAGTGACCTGAAAAGAAAAGAGTGCTGTAAGTATCATAACTCTTAGAACCATGCTATTAATTATTGTACTGTTTTACGAGGTGTATTGCAGAAAGCTATTGACGAAGGTACTTTAAAATTCCCGGAGAAAACTTCAGAGACCATGAAAGTAAATACCAATCAATTCCCTACAATCACATCTACGAATGTGAAAAGCTTAGCCAAACGAGGAAATCGGCAAGAGGCTGAGAAGATATCACTTGAGTTCCTTTCATCAAATGTGACACCTGAAAAGATGACAGAACTACAAAGACAATTAAAAGAGGCTCAATTGGCCTTGATCGACCATGGTTGTTGCCCTAGAGGTTCAACCAAAGAAGAAATGATTTCTTGAAAGGCTTACTTTCCTAATTAAGCCTGGGGAAGAGCCTCAGCAAGATGATTCCAGCAGCAGTCATTTGAAGGCAGAAAAGCAGAATCGGTAAAAATATATATCCAGCCGATTTCATTCCCAGAATCGGCGTCCGAGTTTTAAAAGGCGTTCGCTAGTCCAATCAGAAATTTGGGTGTAAAAGGGAGCCGATTCACATAGAGTACGAACTGTAAAACCTATTAACTGAGTCTTAGTAGACAATGGCTCGGTTCTGAATATAATTCCAGCTAATACGTTGAAAAAACTCGGCAAGAGTATGGAAGATGTTATTCCCACTAATGTAGCAATTTGTGGGTTTAACAGAGGTTTTACTAGCACTAAAGGGATTTTTCCTTTAGAAGTCGAAATTTGAGGAAGAACGTCTTTCGCGGCATTTTTTATTATTGAATCCACGGCTTCATATAATTTATTATTAGGCCGTGACTGGATTCATCCAAATATGTGCATCCCATCATCATTACACCAGATGCTGATCTTTTGGGATGGAGATAAGGTGAAAATAGTGAATGCTGATGATAAGCCGTTGTGGTAAAAGTATACTCGGCAGATGCTGTTTTATATGATGAAGAATGTGTTCCTATTCGATTTGTGGGAATGGGAGCAGATGGAAGACCTATACTGGCAACCATGAGAAGAAGTCTTACCGATCAAGAAATCGACGAGTTACAGCAGGAAAGGTCTAGGCCGAAGGTAGAATTCCCTCAACTTGCTATAATTGAGGAAGAGGTTATTAATGAAGGCAAAACTTGAGAAAGAAGCAGCTCAGCAGCAGGCCTTTAGGGCCGCTTACATTAGGTTACAAGCATACATAGCCAAAAAACGGCTAGAAAGGGAAGCAAAAATAGATCCAGGACCATCGGCTAATGTTGCTGAAGTTGATCAAATCGATAATGAAAAGTTGGATGCTATTCAGCTAGAAAACTTGGAATTAGCACCAGCGAAGCTTGATGATCTTAAAGCAAAAACTCAAAATCCATTAAAGGAGGTGAATTTAGGTACTGATGTAGAGCCTAGACCAACCTACATCAGTGCACTGTTAGAACCAGAATTACAAGCCAAGGTGATTAGCATGTTAAAGGAATATAGTGACTGTTTTGCTTGAAATTATGAGGAAATGCCAGGTTTATCCAAGGATCTGGTGGAACATCGGTTGCCCATTAAGGATAGCTACAAGCCATATAAACAGTCGCCTCGCCGAATGTCTCAAGAGGTGGTAGATAAAGTCAAGGTGGAAATCGAACGATTATTAGATGTTGGGTTCATTCAAACCAGAAGGTATGTTGAATGGCTATTAAATGTAGTTCCTGTTATTAAGAAAAATGGCAAAATAAGAATATGTGTTGATTTCTGAAACATAAACTTGGTAACTCCTAAAGATGAGTATCCAATACCGATAGCCGATCAATTGATTGATGCGGCTGCAAAACATGAAATCATGTCTTTTATGGATGGACACTCAGGCTATAACCAAATTTATATAGCCAAGGAGGATATCCCAAAGACGGCTTTCAGATGTCCAGGATCGATTGGAACTTTTGAGTAGGTGGTAATGCCTTTTGGGTTGAAGAATACTGGTGCTATATATCAACGAGCTATGAATTCTATTTTTCATGATATGCTTGGCAAGTTTATGGAAGTATATATTGATGATGTAATAGTGAAATCGGCAACAAAAAAGGAACACTTAGTTCATCTCAAAGCATCTTTTGAGAGAATGAGGTTTCACAAGCTAAAGATGAATCTCATAAAGTGTGCCTTTGGGGTATCGGCATGAAACTTTTTGGGATTTTTGGTACACCAAAGGGGCATAAAGATCGATAGGAGTAAAGTTAAGGCAATTATTGATGCCAGTGCGCCTAGAAGCAAGAAACAATTGCAGAGGTTACCTGGTCAAATAAATTATCTCAGATGATTTATTACCAATACAGCCGGTAAGTTACATGTGTTTTCCCTTTTACTTAAGTTGAAGCCGATGGAAGAATTCAAATGGGATGACACACATCAGAGGGTATTTGAACATATCAAGAAATATTTGTCGAGTCTTCCTATCATGATGCCACCGAGGAAGAAGTGGCTGATGAAGTTATATTTATCAGCTGCTGAAGAATCTACCAGAGGTATGCTGGCAAAAGAGAATGAAGCAGGAAGTGAGCAAGTAATATACTATCTAAGCCAAGTTTTAACCCCAGTCGAGTGTAGATATACGCCGATTGAGAAATTATATTTGGTTTTATCTTTTACAGCAATAAAATTAAGAGTATATATGTTGCCTATGTTGGTTTATATTGTTTGTCAAACAGATCTTATAAAGTATATGCTATCAAGGCCACTAATTACAGGTCAGATTGGCAAATGGGCCCTAGCACGAATGGAGTTTAATTTTGCCTATGTACCACAAAAAACGATTAAGGGAAGAGCACTGGCAGATTTTCTTGCTGATCATTCCTCACTTGAAATCAAATCACAAGTGTTTGATAAGCTTGACTCGGCAGCCATATTTATGACCCCTTGGACTTTAATATTCAATGGGTCGAGTACCAGTGAAGGCTCAGGAGCTGGTATAGCCATAATATCCCCATCCAGGAAACAAATTTCGCTTTTCTTCTTTTTGGATTTCAGGTGCTCAAATAATCAAGCCGAGTATGAAGCGTTGATTATCGGCTTGGAAATTCTACTGGAAATGGCTGTCAAAGATGTCCACATTGTGGGGGATTCAAGTTTGGTGATTAATCAAATTTCAAAAGACTTTAGATGTTTGAATTGGCAATTAAGGCCATTTCATTCATTGGCAACCCAATTGGTCAACCAATTTCACATTGTGACTTTGGAATACAGACCAAGGGCCATGAATAAAATAACTAATGATTTAGCACAAACTGCTTCAAGAATCAGGCTACCGAATGGAATGAATGAGAGGATAATGAAAATCACACGTCGATCTCTTCCATTGGTTGAAACAAGAAATCAAGTTATAGAAGAGGTTTTTGCCACTGATGTTGCTGAGTTAGATGATGATGATTGGCGGATTCCTTATATTTTGTTCTTACAACATCCAACTCCAGAAGCCGATCGAAAAATAAAAAGAAATGCAGTCGATTATGTACTAATGGATGGAGATCTTTATAAGAGGTCGGCTGATGATGGTTTGCTAATGCATTAGCAAGTTTGAAGGTTTAAAGATTATGGCAGAGGTACATGAGGGAATATGTGGAGCTCACCAAGCCGGCATAAAAATGAGATAGTTGGTACGCCGATATGGATATTATTGGTTTGGAATGAGAAAAGACTGTATGACTTATGCAAATGGTTGTACAGATTGTCATAAGCATGGCCCAATACAATGGGTTCCAGCTATAGAGATACAGTTATTAGTTAAGCCATGGCCTTTCAGAGGTTAGGCGATAGACTTAATCGGCAAGATTAATCCTCCTACATCAAAGGGTCATCATTGGATTATTTTACCTATTAATTATTTTACTAAATGGGTAAAAGCAGAGGAATATGTCTTAGTAACTCATAACACTGTGATACAGTTTTTAGAGCGACACATCTTTCACCGATTTGGTTTACCAGAGACAATTATTGCCGATAATGGATCTGTGTTCCGAGCAGGGGAAATGTTATAACTCAGCCGCAATATGCAGGTCAAAATGTTAACTTCAACGCCATATTATGCTCAAGGAAATGGACAAGCAGAAGCGTCAAATAAAGTTATAATTTTAATCATTGAGAAAATGATAAAGGACAAGCCGAGACGTTGGCATGAAACCCTTTCAGAAGCCTTGTGGGCTTATAGAAACTCGAAAAGGACAAGTACAAGAATAAGTCCTTATCGGCTAACATTTGGCCATGATGCTATGTTGCTGATGGAGTTAAATGTAAAATCGGCAAGTGTAGCTTTACAACACAATCTTATACCTGCCGATTACAATGAAGCTATGCTTGCCAAGTTGGAAGATTTAAATGAAGTTCAAAAACTTACTTTAAACCACCTTATGGTCTATAAGGCAAAGGTAATGAAGGCTTACAACAAAAGGGTGAAATTCAAGTCATTTGCAGAAGGTGATATGGTTTGGCAAATAATTCTTCCACCTGGAAAGACGGATAGAACTTATAGAAAATGGTCACCTAATTAGGAGGGTCCATATATAGTTCACCAGGTGTTGCATGGAGGTGCATATAAATTGAAGGATATGGATGGTGAAGTGCATGAAAGACCAATAAATGGAAGGTACCTTAAAAAATATAAACCAACTATTTTTGAACTCATGGAAGAAAATAAAATCTCCAATAAGTCAAAATAGTTTGGGTTATATTTACTTTGTTTTATGCAAGTTATGTAATTCAGTTTTATGCAGAGAATAAAATAGTAACATATTTAAGCATTGTTGCAAAGAAGTTCAAAACACCATATTACAGACCATTAAAAAGATAAAAATAATTATTCAAAGTTAGGTAAAGTTCTTGTGAAAGTCTTCAAATTTGGCTTTGAAATCAGCCCAAGAGGTGGTGGTTTGCTGGAGCTTGGCTTCCGCTTGCTTCTTAGATTGCTCCAACTTAAGCAATTGAGCCTGCAGCGCTTTGAATTTGGAAGCAGTAGTTTCGGCTTGAACTTTCAGTTCCATCACTTTGCCATTAAGTTGGGTTTTGTCTAGCTACAACTGAGCAAGTTCGGCTTGAAGCTTCTTCTCTCGGGTATCTAGCTCGGCAGCTTCTTTCTTCAAAGCTGAGTGAAGCTCTTTTCCCATTTTCAATGTTTTGGCCATCTTCTAAATCTCTTAGTACTGGATGGCGCAGTGTTGGAGAACCTGGTTTGATTCAATGTATGTAGTGATCATGGTAGGAATTTGAAGTTGAAAGTTCTTGAAAAAGGTTAAATCACTTAAGGAGAATCTTGGATAGCTACTTAGGAAAGAGAGTGTCTCGGTCAATTCATTTTTGAATGAAGGGGTAAAAGATAAGTCTTGTTGTACCATGTTGGATAAAATCTGAACAGCTTGTGTTACCTCCTATTGGGGTTAAAATTCGCCACAGCCTGGTACGACACCGTTTCCTACAAAACAAAAATGGCTAAGTCAAACACTGGTGTGGTGCTGGCCATTGACCCTCCGACGATCAAGTTAGTAGGGGTTTCTAGAAAAGGAATTTCTATCGTAATTGTTCTAGTAGGAGTTTTTTTTGTGTGTACCTTATTCCTGAGTCGTCTTCATATTTACGGTCACTTCCCTTATCCTTGATGAGGGAATATCATCATTCTTATTCAATGGAAATCTTATCCTTGATAACAAAATGTCATCATTCTTATCCAATGGAAATCTTATCCTTGATAACGAAATATCATCGTTCGAAAGTCGAAGAGGTCTGGCGGCTAGTTAACACTTAGTTGTCTCTATCGTTTGGTCAAGGTAGGTTAGGTTTATTTTTCCCTATCACCTCTAAAGGAGTTTCAGAAGCTGGTTCAATTGGGATTACAGGAGGTTCAGGATTTAGGGAGTCAAACACAGAGTTGAATAAGGAGTCCAGGGTTGCAAAAGGGGAACTTGGGTTGGCATCGGCAAGCATGGTAGGAGTGACTAAGTTTTTCTGTACCTGAAATATTTTGGGTTAGTTTTAATCATTACAAGTCTACAAAAAACAAGTTAAGCAAAATCACAACTTACTTCTTCAGAGTCTCTAATCTGCTCATTCATTAGAGTTGCAGCTAGGTGTTGAAAAGAAGCTGGAGAAATCCTTTCAGGGGACCCTTGTTCTTGCTCTACTAAAATTTCAACCTTTTCCTTTTCAACATTATCCATAGTAATTTCTTGACTTCATTTTTGTTCTGAGGAGAGTGGAGTCTTCTGAAAATTGTGCCGATTTAGTTATATTATTTGAACAAAGATATAATATATGAAATCAAGCATCAAGAAACTTTACATTTGGGAGATTTAGTGGCAAACTTCCTTTTCTTGGACATAACTTCATCCTCATCTACTTCATCGTCATCAATCAAAACGAAGTATCTCTTGGCTTTTGATTTTTTAACAGGTTTTTTTCCAACAATTTTTCTTTGTTTTTCCCTGGAACAAAAGTGTTAGTAAGTAAAATGATATACATCAAACGAAAGGGATGGTTTAATTATGAGTGTTACCTGAGTAACAGCTATACGAGGTATACTTTGAAGAGGAACATAGAGATCAATTAGGGTTGATTCTGACAAAGTTGGATTTGCTTCTTCTGGGGTAGAGGGTGGAACACTTGCAGTTTAAAATAATAACAAATCTATGCTAAAAGTAGAGATGATTATTGATGAGGTGTGAAGAGAACCACAACTTACTTTGCCGAGAGTGTGATCTGGTCCTACCTGCTAGAGCTGTAGGTGGGGCATGACTGGTACATTTAATGGGCTTATTCTCTGGCGTAGGAGCTGTGGCAAGATCAACAGGTGGGATGGTTTCTCCTTCTTGAAAAGAGATAGATATAACCTTATAGGATCTAAGGGGAGTATTGGTAAGTTGCATGGCTTCTTTTGACCTGGTAAAGCCAATATACGAAGACCACCATTCTTTAAAGTTTGGGTCGGTGGCTGGTTCTGCTGCAAACCCTTTGTATTGAAAATTATTCAAGAGTTTTTGAAATTTGTTAGTAATATCACGGGCTTGATCACTATTGTCAACTTCACTTTTTTATGAAATTTTTTGTTATATGAGGTATGAGGAGGTACTGGAATTAATTGGGTCAACCCAAATTACCTGGCCAGTTCTGTAGGGTTATAGAACTCTACCCCAGTCCGGCTTTTTGCAAGGTGGGGTGCCACAATGTTGCAAGAAATATCCCTTACAATAAGAAAATGGCCCCAAGAAGTATTATACAGTTCAATTTGCTTTGCCGAGGAATCGGCAGTGGAAGGAAACAACCATGAGGGGGCTAGTCAACAGTTGGCAAAGGGGAGAAATTGAGAGTGCGTTCGAAAAGTACACTGATGATAAAAGAACTGAAAACAGTCAAGGAATAACTGCTCATTGGGTTTAGCCCAGGTATACCCAAAGGAAATCAATGAATCTTTTGTTGAGAGATGGATTTTGGGAGATAACTCAGGAAAGTACGAATGTAACCAGAATTGATAAAGCCAAAACTATCCTCCAGACCGAGAAAAGCTTGAAACAGTGAGGTCTGATAAACCCCTATGTAACGATGCTAAAAGAAATGAAACTAAGGCCATGGGTTTCCCTTTAGACAACACTATAGCTAATTGGGTAAGATCTTTTGTAATCTGGATAGCAGGGGCGCACAGTAAGTGCTGGCATAACCACAACAATAGAAAACCTATATGTTCTTGTTCACTAATTTCAGTCCCATTTTCTCCAATCATTTCTTTTAGAAATGGCCCATGAGATTGGACATGATGTTTAGGGCCATCTTGTTCCGAAAAATTAAAATTTGTTTCTGAATCCTAGAGAAGGTAATTAATATCTTCTCCTCCAGGTTTCAAACCCGTAAGGAAGCAAACATCCCTAAGAGTAAGGGCTATCATACCATAACGTAGATGTAATGAGTTGGTGATGGGTGACCAAAAGTGTAATGATACAAAGAACAGAGTTCTATCAAGAGTCAAATGAATCTTACTAATTTGGATGATGTCAAAGATACCCATCTCTTTCCATAGATCTCCTTTAGCAGCTAATACCCAGTCTACCCAATCATTCCATTGGAGCATGGGAGGATGCCAATTCCTAATTGACGGTGACGGCCTTTAACCTTCAGCAGTTTGATACACAAGTTTGAGGAATGGAAGTTGGGCCTCCCCTTATGGATAGAAAGGGGATTGTGATGGAGGAAATCAGTTGATGAATGCTGGGCCAAGGCCCTTAGCATTATTAGCCAGATCGATGAGGGTTGCATTGCTCAATTCAGAAGACAGTAGGGTTTTGAGGACAATTTTCTTCATTTGAGTATGAGATGTCGATTCTGGTATTGGTGACTCCAGATTAAGAACGGCGTTTTGCTTTTAAGTCTTAGATGACATACTGAAAGGAAAAGGGATTTTGACTGGAGATTAAGGGAAGGATTGTTGTGAGATGAGTCTGATTCAAAGGTAAATGGATTTGAGAAATATAAGGCATGTATGATTAGAAGAAGGAAAGGTTACGGCAGCATTAAAGATGGATTAGATGGGTAAGGTGAATCGGTAGATTTTGGAAACTGAAACCATCATAACAATAGTTGGAAATTATACGGTGTATGTGGAACTCTGATACTATGGGTGTTATTTGAATTTTGGAATTTGAAGGATTAAAACGGCTACCAAAATTGGGGGGCATTGTTGACACCCATTTTGGTAGTTGGGCTTGAGATATAATTGGGCTTAAGATACAGTGACATGGCAAGAGATTGGGCTTCAAGAAAAGGTTAGGCTTTGCATATTGTTTAAGTGGGCCAAGAACATGGAAGTGGACTTCAGGAGAAGAAGCAATGACGCGGTAGATTTTACACAAGAATAAAGCTACACCCAAGGGCGTTACCGATCGGGTGGAATATTTTTAAACTATTTTTGAACTTTATATTGGATAAGATTTATGGGTTTACTTGATTTTTGAATTAGTGTTTATCTAAGAATGTTTAGTTTGAATTCAATTTTCAGTTGTATTATAGAGTTACAATACTGTTGCCCAAGTATTGACTCTAGAGGGGGTGAATAGAGTCTATTGCAAACAATGGCCAATTTTCGGATTTGCAAATTCTACTTAACACATTCTAACAATTATGCAATAATCAAGATATGGACATAAGCAATTAATAGCATAAATGTAAACGAGATAAAGGAAGAGAGATTGTAAACATTCACACGGCGATTTTAGCGAGTTTACCCCTCTTGAGACTTCCCATTCCACTATGGCTTCTCCTTAAGGGTGGAGAACAAACTTTTACATGAAGTAACTTCTTGCTTCACTTTGCTATGGGAACAACCTTCCCTCAGTCTTCCTTTGGGTTACACCAACCCTTACAAATTTGAAGCCAACTAGCTTCTTTTTCCTTTGCTAAGAGAACAACTCCTCTTGGGCTTTACAACAGATTTGAATATTAGATTTTTAGTACAAGATAATCTCTCATAGATTTGTAGTACAAAGTTTAAACTTACTCTAGATTATATATATGA